GGAAGCTAGAATAAGAGAAACAAGATAGCACCTGCTTCAGGATCTTCCAGTTATCTGGTCTACTTCTCCTCCAGCCTGGACGCTCTCCACAGCCTCCAAATGTAGCGCCTCCACCCCCAATTTTCTCCTCTCCACTAGAATTACCTTTATAAAACATAATTCTGATTACTTCATTTTGCAATGTAAAATCCTTCACAAGTCCCCTGTTATTTGCATGATGAAGGCCAAGGTTTTCAGGATGTTGCATCATGATCCCTGCCTATTTTTCCAAGACTACCTCCTCCTCTTACTGCTAGCCACACCACACCTGCTGTTCCCCAAAAAGAAAAGCTTTTCTTTCCTGTTCTCATGACTTGGCATATACTGTCCCCTGGGTTGGAAGTGACCTTCTGCACCCTTGTCTGCCTGGGAAATTCCTATTCATTTTTTAAGACTCAACTCAGATGTCCTTTCATCATGAAGCCTTCCTCACCCCTTTTCCCCATTCCATCCGTACCATTATTCATTTCTTTCTCTGTTATTTCAGATTATTGCACAAATTTCTGTTATTGTATTCATTGCACTGAATCGCAATTATCTTTTATTTGTCTGTTTTGTCTATTAGACGGAGGATTGCTTGAGGCCAGGGACTGGCTTACGCATCTTTGTGTCCCCAGAGAGAGGCTGACACAGTTTCTGACACATAGAGGACAGTCAATAAATGTTTTTCCATGAACTGAATGAAGGGAAGGACTGGCACTGTACAGCATTGTTTCTTAATCATACGCTGGATGCCCTTCTTATCCTTTCAATTCCCTTGAATGCAGACAGGTTTACTCTGCACAAAGGAGCAATTGACAATTAACTGGTTAATTAGTTTACTTAGTTCTGACAAGGAGTGGTGGGAGAAGAGAATGCTCAGGAAGGCACAAGACCCCAGTAACCTGAAAACTAATAAATTCTACGTGACTTTTTTTATAGAGACATGCTTGTCTTCCAATCTGAATTCATTGCATTAGACCTGTCAAATAAATATTGCAATTACTGCTGCAAATGATCACATATTGTTAATAACACAGAGTCAAATCAGCCCAAGAATATAAGGTTATCTTCTGGAACATTAAATTTCCAGCTCAGCATAACCCTCGAGACGAGAAGGCTGTAGAGAGATTTGTGGAAACACCCTGCAGAGCGGGCAGAACAGTCTATTAGAAATCAATGCAAATCCAGACCATCTAAGAGGGTCTCACAGTACGTTTCCTGGCTACAGTTGAGTCCAAATGGAGACGTGAAGGGTCCCTAAAACCATGCAGGATGTCAAACACCACCATGACTGACCAGTTCCAACTCTGGGGTTTTAGTGTAACCTCAAAAACTTCAATTTTTCTTAAAGATTGTGGTGCTGTATGGGAAGAGCCTTACTTGAGTTTGTACATTTTGAAATATGGATTTTACTAAAACAATTTTGACCAAATATTCACCAAAGCCAATTAAGGGTGTTATACATACTCAGTTTAAAACAACATACAGTGATAAAAAACTCAAAATGAAACCCACAGCTGTTGAGTCAATTCCGACTGATACTGACCTTATAGGACAGAGTAGAACTGCCCCATAGGATTTCTAAGGCTGTAAATTTTTACTGAAGCAGACTGACAGGTCTTTCTCCCACAGAGTAGTTGGTGGGTTCGAAACACTGACCTTTTGTTTAGTGGCTGAGTGCTTTAGCCACTGCGCCACCAGAGCTCCTGTATATAGAGTGATAGGGGTTACTGACAGAGACTATTAAAAATGAAAAAAGATCCTTCGTCTTTTCCTGTTCTTGCCTCTCTTCCCTTCTCAGTCAGTTTCACAAGAGGAGGTTGGTAAAGGGAAGAGCTGTCAATGAAAAAAAAAAAAATGAAGAAACAAAGTTTGACTTAGGGCTCGGTGTTCTCAGAGGCCAAGTCATCCTCAAGTTGCTGATCAGGAGACAGGTCCTCTTGGAGGCCACTAGTGGCTGTTGAGTGAATTGCAAGAAGATATCACTTAAAATGAGAGCCTATGCCTTCCTGTGGGCAGTGGCTGTTCAGTGGTAGAATTCTCACCTTCCATTGTGGAGACCCAGGTTCATTTCCCAGCAGTGCACCTCAGGCTCAGCCACCACCTATCTGTCAGTGGAGGCTTGCATGCTGCTATGATGCTGAACAGGTTTCACCACAGCTTCCAGACTAAGATGAACTGAGAAGAAAGTCCTGGTGATCTACTTCTGAAAATCAGCTTATGAAAACTATGGCTCACAAGAGTCTGGTCCACAAAAAATCATGGGAATAGCACAGGACCAGGCAGTTTTTTGTTCCGTTGTGCATGGGGTTACCATGAGTCGGGGACGGCAGCTAACAACAACAACGTGCCTTCTACTAGTAGGGGTGACTTGGGGAAAATCTGATCAATTTAGTGCCAGAACACCTGCATATCTAAATGCTTTTAGAATCATTAAACAGAAATCTGAAATGTAAAGAAACCAGGAGAGGAATCTCCTTGTTCAGGTGGTTCATACGTTGGCTTTTATTTTTTTCCATCATAGTATGTGCGACTTAACGCTATACCTTCTGGGGATAGAGACCCAATCCTCACAGCATGTAGCACTTAGCTCATCTGTGTGAGAAATATTAAATGAATGCATGTTTACAAAATCTGGACTCTGTTATTAATAATTAACTGATAATGACTCTAGGGCTGATCAATCATTCAATTCTCCAGTAATTGTGCTCATTCATTCTACAAATAGCCGCTGCACACTCACACTGCCTGTGCCAGGGCCTCTAAGGAGTATCCCAGAATGTCACCTATGACTGATAAATTAATAACGACTTATTTTTTTCAAAGTAATTCAGTTAAGCTACCCCCTGCCTCCAAAAATAAATAAACAAAAAACAACAATCTTATATATGTTTTTTAAATTGACTTCCCTGCTTAGGTTCTGTGGCAGCTGTGAGGTCTTACTGGCAACATTTTGTTCAGATTTCAGATGTACAGGGCTATGGGCTGTACATACTTCACTTTGAAACAAGTCTTCACTTGAGTGGTTTCCGGATCTTGATAGATTATGATAATTTGTACATTCTGAATCAACGAACATTTTTTGGTCATGTACTATGTGTCAGATACAGGCACTATGCATGTGATCCTTATGACAACCTAGGAAGTAGGTGTTGCTTCTATTTTGCTGCTGGAGAGACTGAGGCTTAGGGTCCTTACACAGCTTGCTCTGGGTTCCCGGAGCAGGTGGCAAATGTGGGATAGGAACCCGGTCTTCTGACTCCAGGACCAGGGGGCTCTCTGCCACACTGCATGCCCTTTTGTGGAGGTTCACGTCTGCCCTCACTGACCCTGGCCAGGGTGGCTATGTTCCCTTCCCTTATCTGTTCTTCCTTCCCAATTCTTCTAGCACCTTGGCCCGCCATTGCCAGGCCCAGGGTCTTCTGTGCCAGAAGGGATTTTGTTAGTAAACGGAATACACTAAGGTGATCTGCTTGGTAATTTGTTGTCTGCATGCTTTCCAACTATACTTGCATTCTTTAAAAAACAAAAAACAAAGATTCCAAGAAATGAAGAAATGGTATCAACTCCTTGGTTTGGGCCTCAGTTTCAAGTCCTTTCTAACTCAGTTTTAGAGAATGAAGCACTTAGCTGGGAGAGAGTGTACACAACTACAAGTTCTTCTTGGCCCCTCAAATTGTACTACTCACTGAGGATGCCCTTCTGATCTGTGACCCCTGCCTCCACCACACACACACAATTGGGATGGCACCTGATGCAATGGACTGGATGTCTCTCTCTTTTCACAACTTGATATCAAATTGTCTAGAGATGACACTGTCATGATTAAACTGTGCAATGTCTGGGAGCCTTTGACTTGCTGGATCTGCTAGCAGTCCACAGTGTCCTTTCTCTTTGCTCCTGATTTGACCCTTGCTGCCAACAGGGCTGCATCAACCTGGCGCTCTCCGCTATGAGCTCTTTCTGATGAGAAGAATTGCCCACAGAGTCACAGGGTGATCATGACCACACTGAACAACCCTAGCAATGGATGTTTTCCTCCTGCTAGACCCAGTACAGAGCACCCTCAGATCAAAACTGAGTCCTACCCAGGTGCATATGTGCTAGTGACAAAATGTGCTCCCTGCTAGACAGATGCCACTCAGGGAGGCAATTATGTCCCTGCCAGGGCCCAAGGGACCAGCATCTATGTCACCAAATCACCCCTGGCACCTGTGCCCAGTCACAGCTGACACGGTGAATGGAGGTCAGGTCCTGCAGGATCAGGCAGAGGCCAGGGCAGGGGAAGCACCTTACCTCACTTGCTCACCAGGCAGCTTGGAGAGAAACAGAGGCTTCCATCTCCATTACTGTTAGAGTCTGGCACCTCTCGCCAGCTCTGAAATTCACAGCAATGGATGGAGGAGGGAGGGAGAAAGAATGAGGAGGAAGCCAGACAACCCAAACAGCCACAATATTTTGAAAGTGGAATCCTCCAGCTAGGGAAAGATCTTCAAAGCATAGAACAGGATGGCTGGAAGGGGCCTCAACTCATGCAATGCACCTGTCTTGTAGAGGAAATAATGGAGAGGGAAAAAGACAAAGTAATTTGCTAAGGTGACAAGGTTACTAAATGGTAGAATTCAGATAAGAATCCAGGCCTCTGGTACCTTCATCACTCAAAAGAAGTTTTTGGAGTCCTTTCTTTAAAACAGTAGAACGCTCAGCTGCTAACCAAAAAGCTGGAAGTTCTTGTTCACCCAGAGGCACGTTGAAAGAGAAGCCTAGTAATCTACTTCCAAAAAATCAGCCACTGAAAACCCTAAGGAGCTACTCTGACACACTTGGAGTCTCCATGAGTCAGAGTCAACTTGATGGCTTGGTCTTCTTTAAAACCAGAGATGGAAGGAGCATCCATTTGCGGGAGGTCAATGGAGGCGAAGGATGGCCACCCAGTGTCTTGGGCCAGGGATGTGCCTGGACCAGACAGGACCACATACCTTGCAGGCTGATGCCTCGGGGCACCAGGCCCTGTAGTTCCACAGTGGGGAGGTCATCTTCTGCAGCATTGGAGTTGTTGGGTGGGACCGATCTCCTGCCTCCAAAGGTGGTGGCAGATGTTTCTGACGACATTCTCAGCTTCACAAGCAACTTGGGGGGAGAAAAAGGAAACAAGAAAAAGGACATGTGAAATAGGAGTTACATTTGTGACAAAGATTCAAAAATAGAGAAAAAGACATATCTGTTTGTAATAGAACTTGTGCAACACATTTCGAGTTTCACATAACTAAAAACTGAGACGTGCAATGAGAATTAGTCTAATGATGGATATAGTTCCCCAAGGAGCTCAGAGAAATTTGGTGTTTGTCCAAACATATATAAAACAGAAGAAAGGGGGCTAATTTGAAGAAATAAAAAATGTAAACAATTTTGGAGGGCAGGTTTTTTTTTTTTTTTTGTTGTTGTTGTTCTAAATCCCCCTAAAGGCAACATCTTTTACAAAACATTTACTGCGGTATGTATGTACATGTGCCCATATCATATAGATTATGAGACCTAAGCAACTTTTGGAAATCCTGATGGTGTAGTGGTTAAGTACTACAGCTGGTAACCAAAAGGTCAGCAGTTCGAATCCATCAGGCACCCTTTGGAAACTCTATGGGGCAGTTCTACTCTGTCCTATAGGGTCTCTATGAGTTGGAATCGACTCAAGGGCAATGGGTTTGGTTTTTTGGTTTTAAGCGACTTTTAAGAATAAATTCCTACAACTGTATCCAAATAAGTGCTGTTCTCCAAAACGTTCACGTCTGCAATTCAATTCAGCCAATGTTATTGAGCGCCCTGGATGGTGTAATCAGTTAATGCTGGGCTGCTAATCAAAAGGTTGGAGGTTTGAGTCCACCCAGAAACTCCTCAGAAGAAAGGCTATCTATTTCTGAAAAATCAGCCATTGAAAATCCTGTGGAGCACAATTCTACTCTGACACACATGGGGTCGCCATGAGGCTGTGACCAGGGGCAGATTACCCAGCAAGCAAGGTAAGCATGGGCTTACTTGAGTTTACAAACTAATCTGTAGTGAATAATTTCACATGGGTTTCACCACATCTTTGATGTGCTTATCTTGCTGACTGGGTAATCTGTCCCTGTCAGGGATTGTAAATTTGAAAAGAGGCTTTGATTCTGCAGGAAGGTGCTGTGGGGTTGGGAGAGAGACAAATACCAGCCATACCTGGAAGTAGAATCTTTGATGTGTTGAAACAATGCGAAATTGTTTCCTACAGATGATCTTGCAAGCAAGGTAAGCAGGGTGCTTAGCTTGCCTATTGGATAATCCACCCCTGGCTGTGCCCAAGGCACTCAGGCAACATCAGAGAACAAAACACCAAGGATTCCTGTCCTCGTGGGGCATATAGTCTAGTGGGAGCTAAGGGTGAGCCTGGTAATAATTCATAAGTAAACCAGGTAGTGTGTTAGACAGTGATATCTTCTGGGGAAGAAGGAAGAAGCGGAACAGGGCAAGGGAGATGCAGAGTCTGGGAGAGGGAGGCAATGTTAAATGGGGTGGACAGGGCAAGCTATGCATAGACTGTTCTCTAGACTGACCTGGTCAGTGGTGCTAACATTGATGTCACTCAAGACATGCTTCCCCTTCCTTTGAGGTTTGTGCAGGCACAGGGCCAGTTTAAATACTACACACCTCACTGTCCCTGCCCAACAAGTATTTGTTGACCAGCTGACCCAATGAATGGAGACCTTGTCTCTGGTCCCAACTGAAGTTTCCCCCTTGATCACCTTGATTACCCAGTCATGACTCCTGGCAACTCGGCTGTTTTAAAAAACCAGGCACACCCTTAACAGATGAAGAGTTGCCATTGTAGAGGCATCTAGAGTAGACTGTTCAAGAAACAGGTTGAGTGACGGGAGCCTGGCTGGACCAGAAAACCACTTCCTAAGTTATTTGGTCTTGTAAGGAGACAGGATTCTTTTGGAAATGTAAGGACTGAATAAAACCCAAATCCATTGCTGTCGAGTCAATTCCAACTCACAGCGATCCTATAGGACAGGGTAGATCTGCCCCACAGGGTTTCCAAAGCTGTAAATCTTTGAAGGAGGCCTGGTGGTGCAGTGGTTAAGCACTTGTCTGTTAACCAAAAGGCAGGTGGTTGGAACCCACAGGAGCAGACTGCCACGTCTTTCTCTTGCAGAGCCTGCTGGTGGGTTGGAAGCACTAATCTTTCTGTTAGCAGCCCAGCGCTTTAACCACTGCACCAGCTGTGCTCCAAGTTCTGGATAAAACCAAAACCAAACCCTTCGCCATCAGGTTGATAGGTATCCATAAATATCTATATGCATATTTATAGACCGTCTTCGTGCAAAGCAGGAGAGGAGGGAGGGGAGAGAAAAAGAGTTCATGAAGGACAGAGCAGGAAAAAGCCGTCCTCTGGTGGGAAATAGCAAGAGTGGGGTGCAAGACACACTGGGGGTGGGTAGGGTTGGGGAGGTTAGCATGGAGCATTGCAGCAGCCTGTTGGGGAGCATGAGCTTGTGAATTGGACAGCTAGGGAGCTCTAAGCGTTGCCAGGTCAAGAGGAGCTGGCATAGGCCTGGCTGATGAGGGCAGGTGGGCAGGGTGCCCCTCTCAGCAGGTCTGAGGAAGGGAAGGAGCTGAAGTTCCTCCTGGGTGGGGACGGGGAAAAACAGGAGTGGGGAGCCAACCTGGGCAGGTTCCCAGCTAAGGAGGCATCCCTACCTGGCTTCTCCCTGCAACCTCTGCATTCCCTGTTCAAGAGTCCCCTCCCTGAGGAAAGGGAACTGTCCTTTTGGGGATCACCCCTAATTCACCAGATTCCCATTTTCTTCCTTGCAAGCAGGGCCTACAGAAAAGCTTCCTGGAGGACCTGAGAGAACTCCCTGCTGGGAAGTGGGGCTGAGGAGGTGCGGAGTTGAGGGTGAAAGACTAATAGGGGACAGTGGGGTGCCTCTACCCCCGCCCCCGGCACCCAAGGGAGGGATCACCAGGGACACGGAGGTGCACGGAGCGCAGGGCACTGGTTGCGGGAATGCTCAGATGGAAGGGCAGGGGCTTACCTGCGGATCCTTCCGGGGGGGCCCTGCGGCAGACTCGGCCGGTGTGTGTCTCTGGGCACTTCCTCAAATGGACGCAGGAAAAAAATGACAAGAAAGTTGGCTCTTAAATAACTTCCTAACAGCCCTCTCCCTCCTCCCCAGTCCCACAGGGTTTCTCCTCCCCCTTCTTGACAGCTAGAGCTAGCAAGGAGCTTCAAGGACTTTCCAGTTACTTCTGCCTTCCAGCTCTATTATTCCAGCCTGCTCTCCCTCCCCCGCCCAGCGGGCAGCCTCCCCCGCCCCCTGACTCGAAGTCTCCCAGCCCATCGATCGAGTCGAGTCTTCGCCATCCCCACCCCCAGTTCTGCCCCCCGCCCCCCTCACTTGGTTCTGGGAGTGCCAAGCACCACACAGGTCACTGCACCTTCCTTTTGGTCAGAAGGGCAGGAAGGGGTCTCCCTTAACAAAGGAACCTCTTTGCCATACAGGGTTGAGAGGCTGGCTGGGTGACTTGACAGAAGGGAAGTCTGTCCCCTGCAGACAGGTCACACAGACAGTAGTGACCATGCATAAAGTAAGTGTAACGTGTTCCTCTTGTGGAAATAAGGCTGTGGGCATGTGCTGTATTCTTGAATCATCTAGGCAGCCACAGCCACCACCAACGGAACCACAAGACTTCCTGCAGAAGGTGATGCTTGGCCAGAGGGAAGATGAAGACCTGCCTGTGAGAATACCACAAAACTATGTTGGTCTATCCCAAAATAATTGGAGAAAAGAAAAAAGAATTTTCCTCCTGAAATCTTCCATATTTTTTTGAGTCTTTGTGTCTCTAAAGATACTTATTTTCCATCATGGTTCTTCCTTACCTTCTTCATTATCTTCAAACGTGTGATACTGCATCTTGATCTTCTAATTTCATAGAGAAAAAAAGATGCCATTGGTTAGACTTTCCCTCAGTTTTCTGCTACTGAACCTATTAACTTGCCTGTACCGTCACCCATTTTTCCTTCTTTCCTCCTATAACTAAAGCAGAAATGTGTCCCTGTCCTGGTCCAAGGGCAGTGGTAGTTCTGTGGTAGAATTCTCGCTTTCCCTTGTGAAGACCAAGGTTCAATTCTTGGCTAGTGCACTTCATGTGCAGCTACCATCCGTCAGTGGAGGCGCACATGTAGTTATGATGCTGAACAGGTTTCAGCAGAGTTTTCACACCAAGACAGACTGGCAAGAAAGGCTTGGAGATCTACTTTCAAAAATCAGCCAATGAAAACTTAATGGATCAAATGGTCAGGATGACGCAGCATTGTGCGTGAGGTTGCCACAAGTTGAGGACTGACTGGACAGCAGCTAACAACAACTCCTGGTCCAAGAACAAGTGCTCTGAGTTCCCTTCTGCCTGTGTACCATGTCACCTTCTCATCTAGGACTTTACTGTATTGCTTATCCACTCTTTCTCCCGTATCTTCAAGCTCCCTTTTTCTGGAAGCTAATTCCATCAGCACTTACACGATTTCAAGTCAAGTCTCTTCATTCTTTTTTAAAACCCTCCCTCCCAGCTATTGTTCCTTCTCTCCCCTCCCCTTCATCGCTAAACTTCTGCCATCTGACTTCTGCCCCCATCTTTCTACTTAAACTGCAGGTTAAGGTCACCAATGGACTGTGCCAAAGGACAGGATGCAGGACTTATTCACTGAACCTTTTGGAAGCGTTTAGCTCTGCTGGCCACTCTCTCCTTAAAGGTCTTTACCTTGGCCTCTCTGGCATTTCACTCTCAGTGTTTTTCTTCAGTACTGTACTAGCTCCCTTGATAATCTCAGAAACTCCTACAGTTTTCAATTTCCATCTATATCCAAATTGAGATCTCTAGCCATGATCTTTTCCAGAACTTCAGATTCACTTGTCTAACTATCAGCCAGCTTCATTTGACATGTCCCAGTGATAATTCAAACTCATCATTCTACAATTAAATATATAATTCCCCCTCAAAAACCCATTCCATCTTAGGAGTTCCCTATGGCAATGAATGCCATCAACCTGCATCTGTTTGCCAAGCCAGACATGTAGGCATCATTCTTGGCACGTCCTTCTTTCTCTCCTTCAACCTCCAAATCTAATCTTTCAATAAATATTTCCTGTTAAATCTCTTAAACATCTCTTAAATCCCCCTTTTACCTTTCCTATCCAAAAGTGTAGGCTCAGACCACCACAGCATCATCTCTTGTCAATCGCCAGAACCACCTCCTACCACTTCCACTCTTGACCCTTTCCATCCACTCTCTACACTGCAGTCAGAGTGAGTTTTGTGGCACTCAAATCAGATTATTCTTTGCACAGAGCTCTTCTATGACTACCCACCTTTGCTTGTCGAATAAATTACAAACTCAAACTGTCAAGGTCATATACAATCCACACCCTACTTAACTCTCCAGCTCATCTCTTTTCACTCCCTCTAATATGCCTCCCCACTCCCTCAGCCCTACTCTGCTGACCGCCTTCACTCTGCCCCAGCCTCAACGAATTCCTTCTCCTGTGACCTCAGCCAGGAGCATGCTCCTCTCCTCCCTCCTCCTCTTTTCTCCACAGGCTATTCCTTACTTACCCTCCAGATCTCAGCCTGAGTTGCTGAGATGCCCTCCAAGGAGCATGACTTGTCATCTGGCTCCTCACTCTGTTTGGTATTTTCTGTTTCCTTGGCTTACCCACACTAGACTATATAAGAGTAGAGACTCCATCTAGAGTTCCTCGGGCTACAGAGACTGCTGATCCTTCAATTAACCACAGTCCATTCTTTTCATATCTTTGGCTGGCTGCTAGAGAAAGACCCTAGAGAAGGTGTCATTATACTGTTGTAGTTCTCCTGGCAAACATCTAACCAAAGTGTCCAGGATTCCTAGAAGCCCTCTCCCATGTGGAGTTTAGGGGAGATAGATCACCCTTGGACCTTCCAGATTAGATAGCTTAGGGGACACAGCTGCCAGGTTCCCCTGGGCTTCCTGGCTGGGTTGCTGCCTTCAGGGCAGACCTGCCACCCTAGCAACCCACCACTATCACACCAGTGTCACTTTTACCCTGAGGCTCATGGATTGTTTGGTGAACACTCACATGTTACATTAGCTTTCTAATTCTCCCAAACCACTATTATGGATTGAATTGTATCCTGCAAACATTCATGTTGAAGTCCTGGCCCCTGGTACCTGTGAATGTTACCTTATTTGGAAAGAGGGTCTTTGAAGAAGTTATCAGTTAACATCAGGGCCTTTTGGAGTAGGGTGTGTTCTAATCCACTCTGAGTCGTGTCCTATAAAAGAGGAGAAGAGACACAGAGACAGAGAGGGAAGATGGTCATGTAACAACAAATTTATGCTGCAGCTGCAAGCCCAGGAATGCCTGGGGATACCTGAAGCTGGGAGACACAAGAAAGGAGCCACCCCTAAAGACTTCAGAGAGAACACGGCCTTACTGACACCCTGAATTCAGACTTCTAGTCTCCAGAACTGTGAGACAATAAATTTCTGTTCTTATAAGCCACCTACTTTGTAGTACTTTGTTACAGCAACCCTAGGAAACTAATACAACCACCAATCCAATAACATTAAAACTGCAATGGCTTTCCTTGTGCTTAACAACCAGGGTCAATAAGAGCACCTGAAGACCCCAAGCACCAGCCATGTGGTTTGAAACCCATTCACATTACAGAGCAGTTCTTCACAGTCCTATGCCTTAGAAGTCAGATCAGAGGTTTCTGTCCATATGATGAAGTTTGAGCCGTGCCAGAAAATGTGACCTCTGCAGAAGCAGCCTGGGTGCATGGACTCTGAGGCCCTTCAGGACAGGAGGTGTCTTTCACTGCTGAGCTTCCCTTACCTGGCAGAGAGCTGGCACAGTGTAAGTATTTAAGAAATGTATTAGGTGGAGTCCAGCTGGGATAATAAAATCCACATTAGGTATTTTTAAAAGAGGGAATTTAACCAGGGGATGGTTTACACAGGTGGTGGAAAAAACAAGAAGCAAAACAGGGAAAGGCAAGTCAACTCGCCAATTAGCAACAGCGGGGGAGGGGTTGGTGTCATCACTGCGCAAGGGCTGGGGTTACATAGCAGAGCTAGAGCCATGTGGGCCTGTCTGGGGAACTCAAGACTCAGTTATTGCCAGAAACACTGGCTGAGGTCCAGAGAAAGAGGAAGAAATATTTTAGCTTGTCCTTTCCTCCTCTTCCACTTTCTCTCCATGACTCTCTTTTACTAAACAGGGGGTAAAAGTAGTTGACAAAGGAACCTGGGAGACACAGCCTGAAAGTTAACACCACCACCCCAATGTCAGGGGTCCCCAAGACCAGCCCAAAATTCGACAATTTCCTAGGAGGACTCACTGGACCCAGCACATAGGCATACTCATGGTATATTATGGGGAAAGGATACAAAGCAAAATCAGAAGAGGGAAAAGGCACATGTGGTGAGGATGGGGAAACCAGGTGTGAGCTTCCAAGAGTCCTCTCCTAGTGGAGTCACACAAAACCTCCAAAAAACCAAATTCATTGCTATTGAGTCGATTCTGACTCATAGCAACCCTATAGGACAGAGTAGAACTGCCCCATAGGGTTTCCAAGGAGTGGTTGGTGGATTCGAACTGCTGACCTTTTGGTTAGCAGCTGGGTTCTTAATCACTGTGCCACCAGGGCTCCAGAGTCACACAGGATGTGCTAAATTCCTCCAGCAATGAGTTGTGACAACACAGGTAAAATGTTATCTATCAAGGAAGCTCATTAGAGACTTAGTGCTCAGGGTTTTTATTGGGGGCTGGTCACATAGGTACCCTCTGCCTAGCACTTACCAAAATTCTATGCATGTGTCAACATAAACCACATTGCTTGCACAAACAGTGTGGGCATAGTAAAAACCCCGCTGCTGTTGAGTTGTTTCTGACTCATAGTAACCCTATAGGACAGAGTAGAACTGCCCCATAGAGTTTCCAGATACTGGCTGGTGGATTTGAACTACTGACATTTGGTTAGCAGCTGTAGTTCTTAACCACTGTGCCACCAGGGCTCCTTGGGCATAGTGAGCCACCCTTATCAGTTCTGGGAATGGTGGGAACCCTTCCCAAATCCAAGTTCCCAGATGCCAGTCAAGAGCCAGCCTTGCAAGCAGGCATGTCTGAGGAGATCAGTCACAGGCCTGCTATGTGAACTCTTTCCCACACCCAGTCCCCCAATACAGTGTGGAGTGGATCGCAGGGCAAACAGTTCCAGGAGTGGCACAAGGAACAGTGAACTTTTCGTTGCAGTTATGGCCAGTCCCTCCCTTCCCCCCTCCCAGACATTGCTATTGAGACCTCAGCAATGGCCTGGAGCAAAAGACAAACCCAGTGGGAAGGTCACTAGGGCAATTCAGTTCAGCCCCCCATGTTCCCTGGCCTTACCAGCTCAGGATGCCAACTCTGAGGGGACATGCATTTCCTCTGAGTACCTAAGCCCTGCCATGCCTTCTCATTTTTCTGCAGGAGACCATGATCC